CCCTGTCGCCGTCCCGCCCCCGACCACCTACCCGCGTGTCCCTTCCCTCCATCGGCCCCTGTCGCCGTCCCGCCCGCTCCCGAGCGCCGAAGCGCTCCCGTCCGCATGGCTCCCTACGTCTGTCCTCCGCTCACTCCCTGCCCAGGACTTCCCACGCTCGCCGCGTCCCTTTCTTCTCCAAGGGATGTTCTTAAGACACCGCATTCAGCAATGTGCCAAGCCCGAGAGCACTCCAGAGCTTCTTCGCAAACGACTAACTCTCTGAGTGACAAAGCAAATCTGCCTCCGCTTGCTCGGGACGCGCAGCCCCGGAGCGACGCGGGACCGGCCAGCCCAGCACGGCGGCGGCGAGGCGGGCCGGGCCCAGGCTCGGGCGGAACGCTCCGAAAGGCGCCTGCGGACCCGAGGCTGATCCGCCCGTCCCTCCGGAGCGCGGGAAGTGGGCTGCGCGCCTGGAGGCTACAGGGCCCGCCCGGGAAAGGGTTCGCGACCCTTCCAGGCCGCACGTGGCGGACCGGCCGCCGCCGAACTCGCTCGCGCAGGCGCAGAGCCACGCTTTGGCAGCCTCGGCTCCTACCACAGCAAACGCATCCCCGGCCGTTACCTTGAGGGCCTCGAGTCCCATAAGACGAGTCTTGCGTTCCTGGTCCTTGATAATGAGGAAAGGGCGCCCATATTCGTCGAAGGCAAGGGTCCCTACGGACGTCATGGTGTAGCCGCAAGACTTACTTTCCCGCACACCGGCGGCGACCACTCCCGAACTGAGAACCCGCCTTCCTCTCGCCGCCGGAAATGACAGTTTGCACATGCGCAGGGCAGGCAGTGCGAGACTTATTTCTCGGCCGCGACTAGTTTAACGCCCGACAGTACCTTCTGGAATTAGCCGTATTTCAAAACTTCCATCTTTCAAGAAACTGTGGGGGGGGATTTTGAAGAAGAGGGAGGAACTTTTAGTACTCACAAACCAAGAGTATCTAGAATTTATTCATCATTAAGGTTTAATTCCTGAGATTTTTTTGAGTGGTGGGTCCCAGCTAGGAGTTCCTTTATTTTGAAACCTTTTTTTCATTCTCCCACCCCGGCCCCGAATGGTAGAATCCACTTCCGTGTTCCGCTCTTGGGGAAATCTCGCGATGGAGGGAGGAGAAGGTGAGGCCGGAACGGTATGGCGGCTCCCTGAAGGCTTGGGAAGGGACTAGGGGACTGTGGCTGTGGGCTGTGCACGTGTGAGGCGGGCGTAACTCGAGGGTCTCGGGCAGCCTGGGTCACCGCGATCCGGCCTGCTGTGCGGGCTACCGTCTGGGGCGGGTCTTCAGGTCGTGCGCCCGGTGGCATGGGGGACTGCTGCGGGGTCCGGACGCACGCCGCCTGGACTGCGGTCACAGCCCGGCCGCTTCCTCGGCGCCCCTTCGGGGGTTGCTTAGGCTTTCGTGCCGCAGCTTTGTCGTCTGCAGAATTGGCTGTAATGACGGGCGTCCACTTACAGGGCTGCAGGGGGCCCGGGAGAAGGGCGCCTCATCGTTCACACTCAGCGCTTTAAGTGTTTGCTGAACCCTCATTTGCACCCGCAGTCTAGTAACGTGCGCAGGGTTATCCAGACCGTGGGGGCAAGTTGGCCTGCTGCTCCAGTCCCACATTTTTTTCTTTTCGTTTTGTCTTCGTGGCGGTACTGGGGATTGAACCGCGGACATTTGCGCTAAGCTACGTCTCTAGCCCTTTTTATAGTTTTCGATTTTAAGATGGGGTCGCTGAGTTGCCAAATGGTGATCCTGCTGCCTCAGTCTCCTGGAATGTGAAACTACAGGCTACAGGCGTGTGTCAGCGCAGGCGACTTTTATGTTTTTTTTTAAATATAGAGTCTTATTTTGTAGTCCGTGTGGTCAGGGATTTGCCTGTCTCAGCCACCTGTTGTATGGGCATGTGCCACCATTCCTGATTGCTGTCTCAACCCCTGAGTTGTGTGCCTCACAAAGATATTTTTTGGTAATCAAACTAGTTACTGTTTTACTTAGTCTTGTGAGTTTACAGCCTTCTTACTCCAATTGCTGTATTATTCCCAGCTTGGGCACTCCATAAGGTTGAAATGTTTATGAATTTTATTTAGCTTTGGGCTGAGAACCAAGAATTGAATTTGTCTTTGGATGATCGGTGGCCCATAACGGTCCGCGAATGTCTAGCTCACTGACTCACTAATTTAGAGTGAGTCTTCAAAAACATTTTATTTATTTTCCATTAAAGAGGGACTGGGGAGATGGCTCAGTGGAATAAGCGCTTCCCTGGCAAGTGCAAGGGCCTGAGTTCAATCCCAGGTTCCGCAAATTAAAAAAAAAAGAATATGTGGTTTTGATATGAATTGGTGCAGAGTAGTGAGGTACTGGCACGTGAGTCCAAGGACATTTTAGATTTTTTTTTTTAAATTGGTATGGGGGTCTCTCTATGCAGCTGGGACTCTTAGTGATCCTGTTTTATGTCTCCTCAGCGCTGGGATTACAGGTATGCACCACCAACACCAGATTTGGTGGCCAGCTCAGCGTGCCTAGGGGTGGGGGCTGGCGTGGCATGTGCTAGGGATCAAACCCTGCCCTGCGCTCGTGTAAGCAGGTGCTTAGTTCGCTGAGCTATCTCACTGGCCCCATTTTACATTTTGTAGTTGGGGCTTTTCTGCTTTGCTGAGTTCACCTTTCATTAAAAATGGCGAATCTTGCCAATCATTTTGCCCAGCTTGCAATGAAAATTAGAAAATGTCTAAAGGCCTCTTCTGTGTAGTTTCTTTTCTGTCAAAACACTGTGTGCTGGGTACTATGGCGCATGCCTGTAACCCCAGCGTGCTCGAGTCTGAGGCAGCAACATCACTGAGGCCAGCTGGGGCTACAAGGTGAGACCCCACCTCAAGAAACCAAAAGGAAAACCAAACCAAACCCCAAGAACACTGTATGTATGTGATTTTTCCTAATAGAGCAAAGATGATGCTAGATCAGAGTAAGGTTTCTTAAGGAACACATTCTATAGTGCTTAAAATAGTGTGCATATGCATGCACAGCATCTAGCCCTCAAATGTTGACTTGTGTCAAGTCACAGTCCTGAGGGGGCCAGTCCTTTAATCCTGCCTTTTCCAAAACTCTGAAATTGAGTAAGAGTGGCAGTTAACCTTGTGTTGTTTTTAACTTTCAGAAAGGGATTCCTAAGTAGTCAGTGGGAGCTACAGCTTTTATTTAATAGAATGGCTCACTGTTCCGGAGAGCACATCTGACAGAAGTCTCTGACCGTTTATGTCCATTGTAGTAAATCCTGCAAATCTAAACAGTGGCCCCTCAAAAGGATTTGTTGAAATACTCGATTTAAAGTTTGAATTTTCGGGGATTGCTATTTTGTGGTTCCACTTTCACGGATTCACTGTTTTGAGGATCAAAAAATATTAATCTATGGGGTTCGATCCCCGGCCTGCATGCTGGCCCCAGGAGTGCCCAGAGATGGTGATTGAGACTGGGCATGGTGGCGTGCTTGTAATCCCAGCACTTGGGAGGCCGAAAACAGGAGAATCACTGAAAGTCCTATCAGTGTAGTGAGACCCCGTAGACCCTGTACTAAGTACGTTTAAAAAAAGCTAAGTGATATAAAAAAATCTAAATTACTCATCATGGATTTTTCACTATAGTGGGATTTTTTGGTACTGTATAGTGTATGTATGTTGTTAAAATTACATACATTTATGAGTTTAGAAAATGGTTAAGAACATTAGAATTTTTTAAAAGTGGAAAAGGTTTATAAGAATGTGGAGTTTATAAAGCCTTTATAGTTACAAATATTAAACTATAACATTGCTACATCTGATTTTCCCCTATCATGGTGGGTGTGTGGAATGTAACCTCCGTGATAAGTGAGGGACCACTGTAGCTTCATTCCGTCCTTGTGTACACAAGAAAGCCCATGCATCCTGGTATTGAGGCCGCCTTCCTGTTAACATGCCACCGCTCAGTGTGTGTGTGGGGGTCCTCACCACGTGGCTGCAGTTCCCAGGCTTGTTGCTTCTGCCCCTGGCTCAATTCATCTCTGCCGGTACCCGCTGCCCCTCGTTGGGCTCAGCCTTTCCCCTCCCTCTCTGTGTGCTCCCCAGCGTCTAACACCTACAGGCTCGCTCGTGGAGCATTCCTCACAGCTGGCCGGTGTCGGCCTCAGTGGAAAGGTCCATGTTTCTGCAGGGGAGATTAGGATCACCTAACCTGTCAGTGCACAAAGGGGTTTAAAAAGTTCACATCCATTCAGTCATAAAAAGAAGTACACTACTGATACAAGCTCTAACATGGAGCTAGGTGCAGTGGGGGTGCTCCTGCAATCTCAGGTACGTGGGATGGTGAGGCAGGAGGATTGCAAATTTGAGCCTGCCCTTGAGGAGCAGCCCACTGAAACCGTGTCTCAATATAAAATTTTTAGGGGGCTGGGGATATAGCTCAGCAGCTTATGTGCCTGCCTGGCAAGCGCAAGGTCCTGAGTTCAATCCCCGCTATCGAAAAAAAAAAAAAAAAGCTCATCTTTAGGCCTGGCGAGATAGCTCAGTGATTTAAAGTGCCTGCTCAGGCAAGCTTAGGCAAGTGTGCAGGGATGGTGGTTCAATGCCTGGCATCACATGCTGCATCAGCCCCACACTCAGGGCAGACTGAGCTGGCCAAAAATAAAAACAAAAACTGAATTTTTAGGGAGGCCAAGGAGATGGCTCAGTAGAATAAACGCTTGCCTGGCAAGTGCAAGGCTCTGCGTTCAATCTCCAGTTCTGACAAAAAAAAAAAAAAAAAAAAAAAAGCTATAGAAAGGGCTGGGAAAGTAGCACAGAAGTGGAGCACCCGCAGTTCGGTGCCTAGTAACGTGTGTGCACACCCAAGCCTTGCGGACATGATGGTAAGTGGAAGAAGTTGGTCACAGAAGACCACGTGCAGTTTTCTTCCATTCCTCTAAGCTGAGAATTAGGGATGGCAGACAAAAAGGAAGTTGGCACTGCTTTAGCGCTGGGGTAAGGAGTTTGGGTGGGTGGGTGCTAGCTAGCCGAAGGCCAGGCTGCCTCTAGAGGTCATGAAAATGCTCTGAAGTCGGCAGTAGTCACCCATCTGAATATGAGGGTACGGAACTCTTGCATGTGCGTGCATTACACCTCAAGAAAGCTGAAGTGGAGCCCCTGTCCGAAACGATGTCCTGGGAAGGGTGACAGCAGTCAGCGGGTATTCCTTGGTCTCCCAGTCGTGGGCTAAGTGGTTTTTGTGTGTCAGTAATGAAAGTGGCATTGCTCAATCTTCTCAACATTTTCCAAATTGTAAAATACATAATTATTAATAACTATTGTGACTATAGTTATTTCTACACTTTGTTGGTGAGCAAGCCATGCCCGAGGCAAAGCTTCCCTGACCTAAGCTTTAGTTGTAAAGGGCTGGCTGAGGCTCTGCGATGCCATGGCGTGGGGCCCAAGTCCTCCCGGCGCTGCGTGCCACTGGTCCCCACAGGAAGGCTGCGTGTAAGGGTGGCCCCGCGCCATGGCGTCCCGTCAGACAGGCCCCGCCTGGCAGTGCTGGTCATTGCCAAGATGCTTTCAGACTTTTATGTCACGCGTCATTAACCGCCTTGTCCAAGCCTTATTTTACCTCTATTTCTAGCACTTGGGGGTTCACTGTGAGACCAGATTTTAAAAATTATCTTTTAGTGTATATTAATTTTGCACAATACTGGGTTTCATGTGGTCTTTTTTTTTTGGTTGACTGAAGCCACCCTGAGGGTGGGGCTGACGCGACACTTGCTGGTAATTGAGCTACGGGGGACCCACGGTCCCTTGCACCTGCGTAAGCAATCACTGCTAAGCTCTCTCACTGGCCCCCTGGTCCTTTTCATATATGCATGTGACGTGTTTTGATCACACCCTGTATCCTCCCTTGCATCCGCCTCATCTCTACTTTCAGCCTCCTCCTATTTTATTTATTTAGTACAGGGTGTTCAGGGTCTCACTATGTAGTTCAGACTTGCAGTGATTCTTCTGTTTTTAGCCTCCCAGGTGCTGCGATTACAGGCCCATGCCACCATGCCCAGTCTCAATTGCTGTCTAAGCGCATCCTGGGGGCGTGTCCAGCACAGCGTGCTGGGGATCGAACCCGGCCACTGCATTCTGCATAGGCAGGCGCTTTAGTCTGCTGAGCTGTCTTGCCGGCCCCCTCTTTTCTAATATAGACAGGAGATAATCTTTTTTTTTAAAAAAAGATTTCACATATTAGAGAAAATGTGATACTTGTCTCACTGAGTGCACTTTATTGTAACACTATTATTTCCGATTCCATCTGTTTTCCTACAAGTGACACAAGTTTGTTCTTTTGGTGGAGTGGTATTCCAGGGTCTATCTGTACCACATTTTCTTTTTCTTTTTTTTTTTTTCTTTTTGTTTTCCTTAGTTTCTTTTCTTTTTTTTCCCATAATTTTGAGAGATGTACCACATTTTCTTATCTGTCCATCTGCTGATGGGTGCTTGGGCTGGTCTGGTTCTTGGCTGCAGTGAGCACGGATGTGTGGGGTCCCTGCATTATGTGGACATTTGTTCCTCCAGGTCTATGCCAAGGACTGGGGTGGCTGGCTGGGCAGACTATATATCTAATTTTTTTTTTGTGTGTGTGTGTGTGTGTTTGTGTCTTCCACACTGATTTCACACCGATTTCCATAGTGGTGCTACTAACTTATATTCTCACCATCATTGCCGAAATGTTCCTCACGGACTGCTTTCCCCCACGTCCTCATCAGCATTTATTTTTGCATTGTTGACGATAGGCATTTGGACTGCATGAGATAGAATCTCAATGTAGTTTTAATTTGCATTTCCCTCCTGGCCGAAGATAATATTTTTTTCATACTTATTGGCTATTTGTACTTTTAAGGAGTTTCTGGGGCGGGTGTGGTGGCACATGCCTGTAATCCCAGCACCCAGGAGGCTGAGACAAGAGGATCACTGAGAGACCAAGGCCAGCCTGGGCTATACCATGAGTTCAAAACCAGCCTCAGCTACATAGACTCCATTTCAAAAAGACAAAAAATAACGTTTCTGTTCAGTTCATTTGCCCATCTATTGACTGGGCCCTTTTGTTTTGGTATGCATTCAAATTTTGCATTCTGTATGTATTGCAGATAATAATTTGAGTTAGAAGAAACCGGTTTCAAAACTCACTTTATGGCTCCCTGGTAGTCCAGAATAAAGCCGTGCTGAATGGGGGATGCCACAGGTGGGCCAGCTGCCCTGCACTGTGACCCGCTGCTCTGTGCCATTTTTGGAGGGTCCGTGTCCACATTTGTACCTCAGCAGAGCACTGGGTCACGCTGGTGCAGACAGAGAGGGGCTGGGGACTACACAGTCTGGTCTCTGCCAGCTGCACAGATGTGCATAAGGAGCTGGAGGTGTGAGTCAGCCGGTGCTGCGGAGGTGGGCAGTGTTCTCACAGGAGCCATTGTAAAGAAAGGGGGACAGGAGCGTGACCCCAGGAGATGGGGGATGCAAGCAGAGGTTGGCCCCGTGTCTATAAAGCAAGGGCTCTGCTCCCCCCTCAGAGCACCCTGGAGGGGGCCAGCTCTCCCCTCCAGCACAGTGTGCGCTGTCTCTGTCTCTGTCTCTGTCTCTGTCTCT